GAGAGCCGGGCCATGCTGGCAGCGCAAGCCACCCACCAGCCAGGTCTCTGTAAGGAATTCACGCCACAGCACAAGGGAAGCAAGGCCACTTCTTCGCACCGTGAGACAAGCAGGACCCATCACCTCCCGGGGCTCCTAGCTGGGAAAAGTTGCCTGAACCCAAGTATAAACCTGCACCCGGAACGCAAGGGGAGAGGCCCAAAGAGCCTGTGCCCAGGAGCTGGCTGGGCACGGCCCGGGGACTCGCTGACCGATCGCTCCGCAGGACGTGCGCAGGACGTGATGGGAGACACCCAGAAGTAAACCACAGTGACAGCAAAACCACGAAGCTGCTGCTTATATGGGGGACTTCTGAGAAAAAAAAAAAACCAAAAAAACCCTGAGAAGGAACATGTCCCACTGGAGGGTATGAGGAAATGAACAGAGCACGTGATAAAGCAGGGGGGATCTTGCGAGATGTGGCAGGTCAGCGACGGGGGCTTGTCATCTTAGTAACAGCTTTTGGTTCTTTGACAGATTTGGTTCTTACTGCTCCCTTCTGTTTCTTTGAGCTGTAAACACTTTCAAGCTGAACATTTTTTTGGCCCCAATGAAAACAGATTTTCCCGTGATCACAAAACCAGGGAGGCTCCTTCCCAGTCCCACACCTAAAAAAATAAAATAAAGAGGCAGGGAATAGAAAATTTCTTGCAGAAGCACCTGTTTGTCCAAACAGGCCGTTCCCCACCACAACCGCCAGCTTTAATATACAGCCATGGGAAACACAGAAGTAACTCAGCTTCACAACAAAGACAATTCTTGACAACGCTCCTGGGGCTTCCCAGGAGGGTTATTCCCAAACAGGACAGAGCATTTGGGGGGGAAAAAAAAAAAACCCAAACCACAAAGGGCTGGAGGGGGCTTTCATTCATTACGCCTCCTGCATTTCTGACTGCCACAGCAGTCGCCCACGAAGCCACGCTGTACCAGCAGGTTCCCCATCCCTGCCTGCAGCCCAAAAACTTCTCTGGTTGCTTTTTCCCCACCCTGGCCTGGTTTATCTTGTGCTTCGACACAGAGAAGTAGGTAAGAGATTAAAGTAAGAGATTGTTAATTTTCATACGGGCATTTAACGTCGTCTTTTTCCCTCTCCTTTTCTCATCCAGGCTGCAGAAAAGCCTGGGCCCACGCAGCCCGCTGAGGGCTCCTGCGCTCATCTGTCGGCGCCGT